TCACACACACACACACACAAACACACACACACTCTCACACACACACTCACACACACACACACTCTCTCTCTCTCTCTCACACACACACACACACACACTTTTTTGTGTTTGTTTTTGTGAAAAGTGGGGACTCTCCATAGGCGTAATGGTTTTTATACTGTACAGACCGTATATTCTATTGCCCTACACCAACACTGACCCAGGCAGGCGGAGCCGTCAGGAGCGATCTCGTGGCCCTCTGGACACTCGCAGCGGAAGCTGCCCTCAGTGTTGATGCATTCACCTCCTCTGCAGAGCAAAGGGTTGCGCTCGCACTCGTCGATGTCTGAAACACAACAGACACCATTTCATGAGTGATGCTGCAAAAGATGCGAGCCGCAACGCAACGGTCAAACGTGTCTGTCAAGTGCATGCTGACACGGAAAAGCAATGGAAAATCAGAAATCTGTGCAGAACTGCTACTGTATGTTTGCAAGATGCTGACAGACTGAAAGCTGCTGCTGCCGTTACACTGACAGTGTTCTTGACTTTTTGAGTTGACTTATGAAACTGAATGTCTAGAAATGGCTAGCATTTTTCTTGTTTTATATTATTTCTGAACATATACACTGCCGTTCAAAAGTTTGGGATCAGTAAGATTTTTTGTTTTATAATGGAGTCTCTTCTGCTCACCAATGCTGCATTTATTTGATCAAAAATACAGAAAAAATTTTAAATATTATTACAATTTAAAACAGCTGTTTTCTATGTGAATATCTGTTAAACTGTCATTTATTTCTGTGATGCGCAGCTGAATTTTCAGCATCATTACTCCAGTCTTCAGTGTCACATGATCTTCAGAAATCATGTTGTAGTTACATTTTTAGGTTGAATGTCACTGAAATTGAAATCTTAAATCGGTCAAACTTTCTGAAAAACAGTGTGTGAGAGTCTCACCCATGCAGTTCTTCATCATCATGAAGCCGCTTTTTAAAATATTATTACAATTTAAAACAGCTGTTTTCTATGTGAATATCTGTTAAACTGTCATTTATTTCTGTGATGCGCAGCTGAATTTTCAGCATCATTACTCCAGTCTTCAGTGTCACATGATCTTCAGAAATCATGTTGTAGTTACATTTTTAGGTTGAATGTCACTGAAATTGAAATCTTAAATCGGTCAAACTTTCTGAAAAACAGTGTGTGAGAGTCTCACCCATGCAGTTCTTCATCATCATGAAGCCGCTCTCGTATCCAGTGAAGCAATCGCACTGGAAATCACCGGCTGTGTTCACACACGTGCCGTGACCGCACAGATCAGGAGAGATGCGGCACTCGTCGATATCTGTGAAAACACACACACACACACACAGTCACACACACACACACAGACACACACACACACACACACACACTGCATGAAACACACACCGTGGTTCAGTGGTTCTCAATCAGCCAGACACCCTCAAGATGAGTTAAAATAAGACAAAACAAACACATTCAAACAGCTAAAAATCATGATCTTATTTTAAGTTGCTCAGATAAAACTTGCATTGTATATTGTGTAAACAGTGTAAATTGTATAGACTTGGAACAGTCATAGAAATTCATAAAATACTAAAACTCCAAAGTTTTTTTTATGATGAATATACATTTGACTAGTTTTGCTAAGCTCTGGTCAAAATTTTGAGTAAAAGTGATGATTTTAAATGTCCTTATCCCAATAAGGAGGTTCAACCAACTCTGAGTTAAAACTTGAACTCTGAGATGGGAAACTCTGAGTTTTCGGTTTCAGATCAGCTGAATTGAGTTAGTTGCAGTACACAAGCCACGGTTAAGACAGCTGACTCCACTGTGACGTGACCGTGACCCTCTCTCTCTCTCTCTCTCTCTCTC